ATAACAGTATTTCATAAAATAAAAACAATAGTTTAATAATTTCAAGATAACATTAAAAGAAAATATTATATCAGACATAATAGTTCAATTGATATTTAATATATAAGAAATATTAGTATTGGTTTTTATTGGAGGGGAAATATATTTTCTCTTATATATTATCTTAATTAAAAGAAAATAAATTAAAATATTTAAAAATTTAATTTAATTTTTTAAAACTCACTCATTAATTTAAAAATAATTCAAATGACCATTAAATATTAAAATTATAATCGACAATTTATGATAGAATAATATTGAGAGAAATTGTTACGGATTGCATTGTTTCGTAAGGGATTAGGTACAAAATAGTTAACTATCACCACATTTTTATAGTGCTTTCCCACTAGCACATCTTCAAATTTATTATTTCACTTAATCTTTTTGTCCATAAACTATAGTATTTTTGATGTTTTATTTAAAAGATACAATTAGGTGTTCAAACTATAGTAACGATACTTATGAGGTGTTTAACTTTTAAAAGATATAATTTTTATCTTATTTTGAAAAGTTTTAGACAAAATATACTTTAATATTCTTTTTTACATTATAAAAATCTAATTTTGCTGTTGAGAAATTAAAAGAAATATACAAAAAAAATCTTTGGCCAATGAATCACACCATAATCTCTTAAAAAAGACTTCATATTACATCTAATGAAATCTTTAGATAATAAATATATTATCTTTCTTGTTTATATATTATTAGTATGAGAGATTCCATCTAAAATTTAACCTTGAAGGGATAAATTATAATTAGATACCGGTTCTGTCCATATATATATACAACTTTGACCATGACACGAGTCACCATTTGTCTCCAAAAAAAAAATCCTAAATTTGAAACTGGTTCAAATGGGAATTGGTGACTAGAGGACAAGAGACATTGGGTAGAGAAGAGGGACAGAGGGAAGACAGCAATCTGGTCCATTTTGTCGCGGCAACTAACATGATGGTGTAATTATCAGTGTCATGCAGATAGAGCGAGTAAGAATTGGTAATGTGAAAAATCTAATAGAATCACATACATTTGACCTACCCAACAAGGTTGGATCTTAGCAGAACAATAACACCACTTCATTTTCTATAGCCACAGGGTGTGTCATAATTACGACAAACACAGTTACACCCTCTTGTTTATCTCCATTATAAGATTGGTCACATTTCTTCTTTCATGTCTGCGCCATTATTTGTTGGTGGGTCATTCCGCCATCACAAATTGGGGGCAGAGACGATCCCATTCTGATTTTGGTTTTGGAGTTTTGAAGAAAAAGGCTTCCTTCATTGTCATCATATCCAAACCATGTTTACTTATACTGGGAAATTTGATCGTCCCCCAGTTGCTTTTCAACCTCCATCCACAATATTCATTCGTAGTAACAATTAACAATTAACATAGCTAATTCTTACAGAAAACATTATAATAATAATCCAACACGATACTCACGAGCTTTTTATTGTTGTACACCAAATTCCTTTCAGTTCAGACCATTTATCTTTTGATGAAACTTATTTTTATAAGCATTTAAGTTACAATTAGGCCTCACAAAATGATCAGTTCATTTGTAAAAAAACGATACAAGAATAATTGATCCCATATAATTATAACGGATGGTAGATCTTAATCTATTTTATTAAATAATATGTTGGCAAATTGATCAATTATAATTTAAAAGAAATTAATTTATTTTTTTTAAATAAATTTAATAATAAAATTATTATTTGTTTGTTAATAATTTAATATATATTTTAAATTAATAATATAATTCAATATATTGTTTTAAGAAATTATAATTTTAAAAAATAATAAAATTTATATAATAATAAATAAATATAAATAACATGAAAATTTATATTTTTTATATTAAAAAATTTAAATATTTATATCTTTTTTATTTAATAAAACTTTCCATTATTTTTTGTTTAAGTAATTTTTACACATTTAATTCAAGTCATAAGGATAAAAATAATTAATTCTCCTCTTTCTTTGAGTAATAATAATGTTTTCTATAATAAGTGAGAGGGAAACTTTTTTTAATTCTCTTTTTACAAATTTGCATTATATATTATTTTTACAACTAATTATATTATAATAAAAAAATTATTTTTTTATTAATTAAATGAGTAACGGATTAACCCATCCCATTATGCAGGCTAGTCCAATAAATTGACGGAATTACATGGAACATATCAAAACGAAATGACAGATGAAAATATTAACCCGTCCTGTTATATTATAGCGGACTAACAAACCGATCTAACCTATTTTGTCTTAGAACCGGAAGTGTTTGTTTGGTTGTAAGGGGTAACTTTATTTTTGTAAATTCTGTAACTTGTTACAATAAATTTAAGAATTAAGTTTTGAACATAGATTTATTAAATTATGATGAAACCTGCCACCTAAAAACTGTAGCAAGGTAATGGAATGCAGCAAAGCAAAGCATTAGAGGTGCTGCATCAGTGAAATTGAGTGCAATTACTTTAGTCATCAATTCATGAATATATGTAATTTCTTCTTTTTAAAATGTGAATAGAGCAAGATAAGCCTATCCTTAGGATAGAGGATCACATATTATTTGTGACAACCCAACAAATGAGTTTTATAATTTCCAATGAATTCAATTTAATGGTAAAAGAATATATTAATAAAATCTACCTGTTTCATGTTTTATTCCTCTACTAGAAAGATTTTTTCTTAATACTAATGATATTATCAGAGAAACAATTCGCAGCAGAAAATGGAAATAGAGAAAATATATGAAAAAAACCTATATGAGATAGAAATTATAATGCTTGGAAATAATTAAAAGAAAAAGGCTAAAGAGGGTGGAGAGCAAGAACATGATCCCTGTCTCGTCCCATTTGCAAATGGAGAGAAGAAAGTATTTGTCCCTATTATCCCATCTTAACAGATAATCACTCCCATGCCCATTGCCTGTTCCATCAGCAATATGCCCCTCTCCTTTTCTAATATGTCTCAACAATTTTCCTATGCATCATGCAACTTCCAACAAGTCTGCTTTTTTTCTGTATGCATAGAAAATTATGATAATACAAATTTACATTTAAGGTGTTTGTTTAGATTAACTTATTTTGAAAAAAATTATTATACTTTTTATTTTTGTGTTAATGTAATCTTCAATTTCAAATTTTATTCCACAACTTCATTTTTTTCATTATTGCAGAGGGATTTAATAGTAATGTAGAAAGGATAAAAAGTGTTTGGCAACGTTCAAGAAATACAAGGATTTTGGTGTGCTGAAACAAATTGTAGTTAGAATAATTTTACATGGTCTTGCTAATTAGTGTCCTAAGAATATTAATTAAGTTAAAAGTGGATATTTTTATTAAAAATTATACGAGATCACACTAAATTAATATGGCTGTATTTTTATGTAAATTGCACATAAAAATAAAGATTGAGTTGGTTAATGTGTAACATATTAAATAAAAAAGGAGCTTTAAATAAAAAGCAGGTTAAAGTAATTTACATTGTAAAGTACTTATTTCCTTTCCTGCATCACAAAATCATTATCAAGAATTGAATGTGTGATACTTACTCACCCCAACTATCTGGCCTTTTCCAGGCTACTTCTGTTGAGAAACTTTTTTATAGACCAAATCTGTATTATCTGGATTCAACAGTTCATATCTGTTTTACGCTGATTGGTTTAATCTAAAAACAGTTTGAGTGTGATAGCCCAAAAGGTAAATCTAGAGTGAATACATTGAATTTGATATATAACTTACAGTTAATGCCTCTGGCTTTGCAAGCATGCTGATGTGAATCTCTTAGTCTTAGGCGTACATTGGGTTCCCACATGAGCTCTAATCAAATCAAGGATGACCAATGGGATTGATAGCTACACGTGAGAACCTGGTCTCATCACATGGCACCACCTCATCATGTCTTTCAAAGGCATAACCACATTATGCGGTCAATGCAATAGGCTTAGACCAAAGACAACTTCACTAGAATGATGATAGGTTGCTGTCCAACATTGTCTTTATTAATAGGACAAAGTTTAAACATAGTTCTAAAACTATCTTTCATGTTATTGTCTAATATAAGAATTGATGTTTTATTTTCATAACTGTGTAATGAAATTTTCCTAAAAGATTAACGTATGATATCAAGATAAAACCTCAATTCTGAAGAAAAAACAATTAAAATGAACTTAACACAATTATATCTAAGTTTTATCTTTATTGATGTACCAACAGGATTCAAAATGCTCCAACAAACGATCTTGAGGAATCAGCTCTGCATTTGACTTTCGCTAGAGACGTACTTCAAGGCTCACCATAGCCAATCTGTTCATAAACATATGGTCCAAAAATGCATAGTTTTATTTTTTCCTTTTTGCCGGGATCAACAAGGTGAAAATCAGTGATTTGTCACTGTCAAAGACCACTCAGAATACAATGCAAATTCATGACCAAGAAAACAGTAATGGTCATCTACATCGCTATGGACAACCTTCACATCTTAAGGGGCCTTGTCTCTGCTTTCATCTGAAGTGCTAAAAAATAGATTATTGACAATAACATGTATACTTTTGGCATCCTAGAGACATCGGGAATCAACGAGGTCTACCAATTGGAACAGACAAAGAAGCTTGGAACATATGTGAAATTGCTATTCTGCTTAAGATGTAACTAGCATCAGTTTCTCACACTTAGAAATTGGACAAAATTTTGAAAAGATCAGCTCCTTAGAGAAGCAAACTGTTGCCATTATTATTGTTTTGTCACACAACGGTGCTTCATTTTTTGCACATAAACATAACCATATTTTACAAGGGACTTGTCGCTCCGAAATCCTTGAACAAACCATATGCGACGAACTCGGCGAGCTCTGATATGGATACACGTGTGGCAAACAACCTGCGTATGCACTCAACTTATAGCACATCTCGGTACATATGATGACAACTTCATTAAGTGGTTGTGGAATGTCCATTATGTGATCACTGTAGGTTGCTCCCTCCCGGTGAAGTCTTTGAGCTTTGATACGGATATTGCCAAATCTGCACAATATTAAGAGCAATCAATTGCATAGAAAATAGAGCAAGTAATTTGATATTATTATATTTTATCTTGGTAAATGAAAATAACCTATCAATGGTTTTAAGGCAATTTGAGCATCAACATCATGTTTAGAGACATCTGGTTCAAACTGTTCGATGTATACTCGAACAGTTGCCCCTGCAGAACCAGTTCCCTGCAAAAGAAAACATTGCAATCACTTAATTTTACGTCTAAATTTCCAAGATGGATTCAACTTCTTTGATAAAGACAAGATGGACAAACAAAAAGATGCCCCATACTGATAAACGATATATTATCCTTGAACCATCTGTAAAAACAAATCGAACGCCTTGTTTTGATACCACACTTCCGTCTACCTGCACATCTAAAGTAGATAAGCACCAAACAATTGCAAGGAAAATGTGAAGTATGGTAGCTTGACCTTGAATTAAAAATGAATATGATAAAAATGTATACTTACAGGATCCGTGTACTTAAAATCATCTGCAAACTGGAGGACATAGCTTCCTGTAGATGAATACTTTCCACACTTAAAGATAATCAGGAGAGGATTGGAAAAATTGAAAGAAAGTGATTCCTGTAACTTACCATACTTATCACCAGCCTTACTCTTAGACGCAATATCTCGTAGGTATTCTATCATCTTATTGGCACCTTCAGATTCACATTCCTATAGAAGGACTTACATTTGTTAAAATAAAGAAACATTGCACTGAACCTAGCTCAGAATATGTTACAAATTGAACTTCAATTGCAGCAATGATACCTACCTCGTAGTCATATCTAGAGAAGAAATTCCTTCCATAAGTTGCCCAGTGCTCCTTCACGACATCTGATACGGAGACCAATTTCTCCCCTGGCTTCTTGTCTTTGTTGCGATGTGCAATAATAGAAAGCCAAGCTAAGACAGCCCTGTAATTGGAAATCATTTACATAAGACAGACGATTATACATTAGATAGAACATAGATCAAGTTTTTTACATGCTTGTGGTGCCGTTTCTCAATAAAAATATAACATGTATTATTTTAAGTCATCAGATCTTCCCTTTTTGAGTTTGTCCCAGTTGAGGCATAAAATGTTATACATGTTTTAGGTTTTATAGGGCAACAAATTACAAACATCTAAGGAATTTGATTTAAGTTCTACCTGTGACAATAATTCGAGGAGAACAATGACATTGCTGGTCTTAAATGTAATTGTCTTTCAGAATTCTAATATTTTCAAGATACATCAAAGTAGCCAGCCTAAAAATTAAAATTGATTATATTAATTTAAATTTACAAAACCAAGTGGAATATCTACCATATGCCGTCTTTCTCACGAATGTGGTCAGAACCTGTTCCAAAACTCTCTTCCCCGCAAACTGACAACTTCCCAGCATCCATAAGATTCCCAAAAAATTTCCAACCAGTGGGAACCTGAATCCAGGGTCCATCTTTTGTTATTTAAGAACTATGCCTAAAAATATATGAAGCCTAATTCATCTATAATAATTGAAGAAGAAAGAAATTTAAAATAAATAAAACTTGCCTCGAAGAAAGGGAGTTTCAGTTTTTCAGCAACACGATCCAGAGCTCCACTTGTCGGCATTGATCGAGCAAGACCCTGCAATTAAAACACAAAATAATAACACTTCTGTCTACAATGATGAATATATAATAATTTGTGCATAAAATTTCAACCTTAACACCATTCTTGAAGTAGGGAATGGCTTCTGCATTGGCTGCAATAACTGCAACAGAGTCTGAAGGAGTTACAAAGAAACTTCTTCCTAGAATCATATTTCTATCACCATCCCCTGAACAAAGAATGAAATACATGAACACCATTGCATAAACACACACAAAGACTGACAAATATTGTTGCACAAGCGCGCATAAAACACATCTTCTGCAATATGTTTAAAAATCGCATGTTATAAACCATGTCAACACTTGAACCACAAACAAAATAAGCTTTTGACTCAAAATTGTTAGTTACATTCAACAAAAATTGGAAAGAAAGAGTAAAAATTGAAATACTGTGATATGGAGAGGAATTGAGTCAAGGTTACATAGAGAAGATTGGATTTCCCCAACAATGCAATCTACAGCAATTGCATAAGCTAGTATCCCTAAACTGATTTAACATAGTACTAATAAATTCTTTTGTTCAGTTATTTCAATCCCCTTCCTATAAGGGCAAAGTAGTTTTGACTTCTAAACTGACCTAAATAACTTGACCATACATGGATCAAAGATTAAACTGGATAATGTCATCCAAGAGAAGATCTTCTTCAGATGAATTTAGAATTATGCAGCAAATTGTTATTTTCTAGGTTGTGCGATGCAATCGAACCCTTGGTGGTGGTGCAATGAACTATAGGCATGCCTAGGTAAACCTTCAATTTTTTCTTCTCAATATATGCTTTCTTCAGTTTTCAATCCTTACCAGATTTGGTAGAGATAATTAAGAGATTCTTTTTTGTAACCCTCACCATCTCATGGGTTTCATATAAATCCATCTACCCTAAAATTACAAATTCACATGTACTCTTCACAACACTCCCTTAAAGCCAATCCACAAAACCCTAAAATAACCTATTACCTCCTAAGTAAAGAGTGAGTATCTTTCCAAAATAAACTGAACCAAACGCAAGATACACCTAAGCATTCCACTGTCCTATGTCACGTTGCTTGCACCACAATGACGCAAAACACTGGTTGAGAAGAATTTGTTGCAAAACTAAAAAACCTATCATGAATCAAAACAGTAAAAATACAAAGCGAGAAGCATCTTAAAACAGACAAAGCGGACAAAATGCAATAGTAAAAGGATGCCCTCTATTATGATCTTTGAATATAATGAGGCGCAGCAGAAAATTTCAAAATGAAGCAAAGCAACTAAAGCAACCTCTACAAACAGTGTCCATTAATAAACCAGTTCAACAGGCATGGATTTTTACTGAATATCTGTAAACAAACAATTTATTTCAAAAAAACTAATGATATTAAGAGAGTTAACTATTTCCTCAAAGGTGTTAATCAACAATTAGTTCTATAAAATCAAGGTAAGTACCAAAAACTCCACCTAGATGTGAAGCTGTGTAAGTAAAGTAAGCATTAGTTCAACATATTATATGTAGCTATACACATAAAGGCAACCTAGCCTTGCCTTACCCCTCATTAGTGGAAAAAGTATTTCAAAGATGTGAACCCATGATCTCTGGGTCACAAGGCAGCGACATTACTATTGTTGCTAAGGCTATCTCCAAATGGAAACACGCTGACTCATACATAAAAAAAAAAAAAATAGCTACTTAACAAAAAGCTGGCCACTGCATTGGTCTCACATACCATCACTGGCAGCTCCAAAATCAGGTCCATTTTCAGCATACAGAATGTTGACAAGATCCTTAGCATATCTGTTCAGGAAACATTACCATCAAAACAAATGTTCTAATGGTTGAAAAAAATGCAAACCAATAAAGCACTTGACTCACGTTAGATTAGGATCAGGATGGCCATGTCCGAAATCTTCCAAAGGAATTCCATTTGAAATTGAATCCTACATTACATAATTAACATCCAATATCAACAACTTCATATAAATTTGTATACAGACCCTAGAACGGCAGTTTAAAATCAACAAATCAAAGAATCTCATTCATTGGAAAACTACCGTCAACTATTTTATTTTTATTTCATTCCTGTAATTTTGAGATTCCTAGTTAATTATGGACATATCCTATTTATTATTTCGTTTTTTGTTTTCTTTCATTATAATGTATCTTTACGCAAATAAAGTAATGCAAAGATTAAATAATTCTCTTCATACTCTCTTCATATGGGATCAAAGTTTGTTCTTCATAAATGAAAGAAAACCAGGTGATCAGCCTCTCACATCTCCCAAACAACTTAATCAAAACCCAAATAATAAGTCAATCTCTTTGAATATTCTAAGATAAACTATTAAGCACATAAGGATTGATACAAACTTCATCAAAATGGAAATTGAAATTGCGACATTTACCCTACACTACATTCCAACAAAATTACAGGCAGCAAATGTGTTCACAAAGGCTTTGTTAAAATCTAACTTTGAGTCTAATGTTTTGACAAGCTGGAAATAAATGATATCTATTCCCCAAATATCATAGGTTATGTTGGACATCCATCCGAAATTTTTTTGGGAATCATAGAATCTCATTAAGCAGGAGGATCACAGTCAACTATTTCAATTTTCGTAATTCCATGTAATTTTTGGATTCCTAATTAATTCAGGAAATATGTTATTTATTGTTTTCTTTTCCATTTTCTTCCTTCTTTCTCTATATGTATTTCTTCTCATATGAAATAATGATATGAATCACAAGGGGTAATTTAGGATCTTTAGGGTTAGAACCTTGTAAGAAATTTAGGAATTAGAAAGAAGATGGAAGGAAAGAATCACTCTTCCCAAGGGAGGCAACACACAAAGGATGTGACAGTCCTTTGATACAGCTAAGGGTTCTTGAATCACTCAAAAATTTAGGAGAATCACTCTCACTAAGATAAAAGAGATAAACTCTAATATTTCCAAAAATAAAACTATGGTTCAGCTTATAAAGAAACTTTGCCATCAGAGTTACAAATATTCATTAAAGGAAAATAAATGCTAATAATGATTTATTAACCTAGGAATTGAAAACTATTTAATGATTGATTGTAACTGAAATTTTGGCATCCAAAAGTCAATCAGTTATGTATCATCTTGGTCTCCCAAAGACTGATAACTAAATTTCCAATTGGGCCCTTATTACAACTTGCAATAAAATTAAACTAAAGCCCATTAATTGATTAATCCAAAACACAATTTGGCCAACCAACAATACTTGTTGAAAAGCTTTCTTTGTTTCCCTTGTTCTAGCCCTTATCATAGGTCATGTTCACATCATTCTCTCCCTCTTGAAAAGGATTTGTCCTCAAATCGGATTCATCATCTACATAAAAAAGAGATAAGTCTGATAAATTGAATGTAGAATTAACATTATACTCACTTTTTATGGTTAAATAGCTCTGTTTCACTTCACGTGTTTCACTCTTCTTCTTTTTTTCTTTCTTTTCTTGAAGAAATTTTTCTCTCATTTTCTTTTTATTCTCCTCTGCCATAAATTTGATGTTCAAACCTTTAAACCGGGGCTCTGAATACCAACTGATATGAATCACAAGGGGTAATTTAGGATCTTTAGGGTTAAAACCTTGTAAGAAATTTAGGAATTAGAAAGAAGGTGGAAGGAAAGAATCACTCTTCCCAAGGGAGGCAACACACAAAGGATGTGACAGTCCTTTGATACAGCCAAGGGTTCTTGAATCACTCAAGAATTTAGGAGAATCACTCTCACTAAGATAAAAGAGATAAACTCTAATATTTCCAAAAATAAAACTTAACTTGTTATTTCTGATAAAAATGGTTCAGCTTATAAAGAAACTTTGCCATCAGAGTTACAAATATTCATTAAAGGAAAATAAATGCTAATAATGATTTATTAACCTAGGAATTGAAAACTATTTAATGATTGATTGTAACTGAAATTTTGGCATCCAAAAGTCAATCAGTTATGTATCATCTTGGTCTCCCAAAGACTGATAACTAAATTTCCAATTGGGCCCTTATTACAACTTGCAATAAAACTAAACTAAAGCCCATTAATTGATTAATCCAAAACACAATTTGGCCAACCAACAATACTTGTTGAAAAACTTTCTTTGTTTCCCTTGTTCTAGCCCTTATCATAGGTCATGTTCACATCAAATAATTGTTTCATTCTGCTTGTAAGAATTTAAAGGAGGAGGAGGGGAGGACCATACCAGACTAGCACCAAGTTTATCAACAAAGATGGGTTTGGCATAAGCACCAGTAACTGCATGCATGGCATCAAATATAAACCTAAAAAAAATACAATAAATTCAAAGACTGTGGGATTCACATAGAGCCTAAACATAATAACCAGCCATGACTTGAGTCGGGATTTCCCTACTCTCTGTTAACAAAATCCAAAACTTTCAAGCCCAAATAACTCAGTAACAGGATGAATACCTAAATTCTGGACGGGAAAGAAGACCTTTGATTAGCTGAAAATCAAATACTGTCTGCAGGGAATATATAATAAACAGATTAATAAACTAAATAAAAACCACAAGACTGATATCTAGTTCAAGTGAAATATTCTAATTGATATAGTGGTGTGTAATGGAAAGATTATAACGATGCAAACAAATTATTTTCACCTCCAGTAGCTCCAGATAGTCAGAGACTGGGTCTATTACTTCCACACTGAAGCTTCCAAACTTTGTAACCCCAACTTTTGATAAGTCAACATCAGGAATGTCAGCTATCTTTATCTCAGAGATCTGGTCAACATAAAACATTTAACCCAATAAACACTTCATCACTGATAACAAGAACAAAGGACAATTCCTCCGGGAGATAGTATTCTTAAAAACGTCACTTCCAAATCATTTTATAACACCTAGTTTTAAGATACATGTTCACTCTTAAAAGTACAAACTCTTAGCTGCCTCCATGGCTCGTTATAGCAATTTTGCATATGAACACAAAAGTCTCAAGTTCAACATTGTAAAATACAAACATTTGACAAAAAGAAAAGAAATATACAAAGACATGGAAGAAAATGTAATACAACAGGAGGAAATGGTGCGTGTGACTTATTATATACATTCGAATCAGAGGACCCCATAAAAAGAACACTACCACAGAAGCAATGTACTGGTACAGTATTTGAAAGAATTGAATAAATTAAATTTCATAACTCTGCATTCTGCAAGACTATAGAACAAACGAAAATTTGAAAGTGTAATATATCGTACCTAATTTAATTTAATCAAATTATCATTTTAAAATTACCTGAACGAATGTGCTTGTTTTAGTTCTTCCTCTTTCTATTTTCCCTTTTGTGGTAAAAGAATTTATTTGAAAGGAGAAAAGTACAGAGGAGGCCAGATGCGTTTCAGGTTTAACATAAAGATAAAATGAACATTGACATCAAGTAAAACTTCACATTAGATACCCAAGTATGAAAAGCTCTCAGGCGACTTTATCAGAGCTCCAGATAAAGTTCAGAAAGAAATTTTGCAATCAATAATTATTTTATCTAATTACCATGATTGCAACTCTTTGCATTAGAAGTTCTAGTTTGCTCGACTATTTTTAGTGGGTGACAATTAAGAGCATTTATATATGGACGTATGCACAATACAGGTGATCTGCAACATGTTGGTTGTTAACTCTGTTGTGTCATATCATGCTAATGAAGATTATTAAGACTTAAAAAACGTACAACAAGATTGATATGTAATGTAACAGGTTAAAATAAATTAATTATTAATATAAGAAGAGAACACTAAATTAGTGATGATACAATATTGTAAGGTCAAGATTACGTGGAATTTTTCATCCTTAAAAAAGACAACCTAGGTAAGAGTCAAACATTTTAAAGAACAGAATGTAGGATCAGAATAGTAAGTCTTTCTTGAATAATAATGAGACACTTACCGACAGGGTGTTTCCATAAATCTTGTCAGTGATGGATTCTGGTGCAGGTTGTCCACTGCTGTAATTAAACTGGACTCATCAACAAAACCATTTATTAGAAACACAGACTGACAGAGTTGCACATCAAGTCTTAGAAATTGGGCACAAACATCTTCAGAAAAAATTATGCTTCGACCAAGCTGCATTATTACATATGGAATACAAAGTTACCAATCCCCAAGCCTAATATCCATACACTGCCCGACAAAAAAGAAAATCAGAGTGACCTCTGAATCATAGGCTTTTCAGAGTATCAACCAATGTCCTCACCAAATACAGTAACTTCAGGAGAAGCAGTTATCAGCATTAACCAATGCACAATTTGATAAATGGAAATTTATAATGGATGAGAACAACTAGAAAAGAGAGTCACCTTAATACCCCAATCATATTCAGGCCCACCAGGATTATGGCTTGCACTCATAATAAATCCACCATTTGCCTGTTAAAATTTAAGGAAATCAGAAAAAAGGGAAAATGAGAAGGTTATGCTCACTTTATGCCAAAATACCCTGGAGAAACAACGACACTGGCTTGCCTTTTGCTTTCGTATTACTGCAGAAACAGCTGGTGTTGACAAAATACCTTCCCTACATTTGAAAGAAAATGAACACTCAATCTCTATTAATACCTCCTCATAAGTAATTGTGCACTGAACAATAACTCATACACAATCCCAACAAGATGTTTTAGCTTAATGATTCCAGTCAGTAGTAGGGCTCTTGGTTTAGCAGAAAATTACTTTGAAAATTCCAGATACTCACTTTCCAACCAGAATTTTTCCAACACCATTTCCAGCAGCAATTTTGATTATTATCTGTTATCGACCAAAAACAGCAGTAAAAATCAGAAACAAAATGATTATCTAAATACAAAATTGACATTTGATTGCCATTATGATATATTCAAAAAGGTTGACCTGTGCAGCTTCCCGATTAAAGTATCGACCATCACCTCCCAACACCAACAAACCATTCTTGTAATCCTCCGGAGGCAATGAATTAAACAGGGCCTACAGATAGACAGACTTGTCACTTACATGCAAAGCAAAATGCATAAATCACACACAACCATACATTGCATAGAATTCTACAAACCTGGATCCAATTTGCAAGGTAATTTTCTTGCATAAACACTTTCACCTACAAAACAAATATGCATGTAGTTGATTATAAGAAAAGCATAAACGCACATTGTCAATACTTCCGTATAACTGTGTTCCTTAATTACTAGCTTTCCAATGTGTTACAGTCAGTTAATAACCAACTTTCAAAAAATGATGAAAAGAAAAAAATAATCAACACACTAAAAAGGCTACCAAACCAATGTTTACTGAAGAGCTAACAATGAGTAACTAATTGTGTTTGAATGAAGTAAAGAGAAACCGTAATACGACAACTTAAATATATAATTAACAAAAAAAAAACACACACACACACACACACGACATTACAACTTTATTTCATTTTCATGCATAAATATATTATCAATCATAACATTACTTAAATCCATGTCAACACTAACACAATCCATATGCAACAAGCTTTCTGATCGAGCATACACAAACCAGGAATAAAGACAATCAAAGAAGGATATAATTGATTACTTTGATTCATGACAGTCAAACAAAGTTACTTAAGCAGAAAATGAGCGATGAGATGCTTCAATTTCATTGTTTTTCATTATTGGTGTTCCATTGCTAGACAAAACAATGAAACTAAAAACCCCACAAGCCAGCTACCTTCTTCCGAAGCCCGCTAGTACCAGTCTTTTGTCCCTCAATGGGTTTGGTTGGAATCGAATTAATCTTGCAACAGCAAAAATATAAAGAAAATGTTAGATTTTAGAACTAGATGGCATTAATAGAAACAGAAGGGACAATGCATGAAGGGATAAAGACAAAACCTTAATGCCTTCAGGTTCAGCAACGGTTGTGGAAGGGGATGAGGATGATGACGTGGCTCTGATGGTTGAACCGTAGCGGATTCTAAAGGGAAGCTTTTGAGGCTTCAAGGAAGAAGGACATGGGAGGAAGGAGGAAGGTTGGATTTTCGAAAGTGGAGCAGTAGAGTTTTGGGGTTTGTGGGCAGAGAAGATGAAGTTGTCAAGTTTAGAAGAGAAAGCCATTGATGGGTATGGAGGAAATATTGTTGTATCAGTTTTTGTGAGAGCAGAAGAGACAGTGACGCTGTGTTATGTGCGTGAGTGATGAGTGATGTGATGATTTATGAGTGAGCTGTGGGAACACATAGATGCCACATGTACGAAGGGACACTTATCTTGAGATTCAACAACATGTGAATGTGAACTGTGAAGTGCTTTTTTGGCCCTTCCCATGATTTTTGCATAGAACGTTACTGAACATCGTATTTTGGGTTGCAGAAAGAACGGCTAAGAATTGTTGATTCGGACTTCTTCTTGATTCTCGCCAGGTGGAAATTAACTCACCGATTTCCATGCTTCTTCCCCTTCAACTATTTTAGTTTAATGACATAACTGGTATTCTAATTTACTAAGTTCATAAATATTAATTAAAATACACAGTTTAAATATCAAGACTTTATACTCTCTGTATTTTCTCGATTAGACATTTTACATATTTTTGTTCTTCTACACTTTTGATGTAAGTACACCAGTGATTAAATAAAAATACTATTTCAATCATTTTGAATTAGAATCCTTTTATGCTTCTTTAATTTTTGTATGGTTTAAGTCTTTCAATTTTTTATTTTAATTTTTCTCTAAATTAAAATTACATAAATAAAAATGAAACTATTAATAGTTAAAAATAACCTTATTATTATAATTTAAAATCATACAGTATAAGTTTGAAATAGGATTTATGGTTAAATATAGTTATGATATAATGTGTACGTCAAAAACATTTATTTATTACAATTTTTAATTTTATTAAATAAAGATGATAAGGTAACGCTGAAGTTAAAATTCTAGTTAAAATAAATCGTCTTGAAAAAATTTAGAAGAGATATTGTTTAAACAAAAACATTCATAAATTTTTGTCAACAATTCAATTACCGAATTATAATTAAGATATTATATTGATTTGATAATAGAAATAAAAGATAAAACGAGACAGATCACAAATTTGAGTTTCCTAATTAGAAAAAAAAACATATTAATAACTAATAATATATATACATATATTAGTTTAATTTTTAGTAATTTAAAAAATAATTTAATTATTTCAATTAAATATTTTAATGAAATTATAATTCTATGAACGAAATATATATTTATATTTCACTTTTTACCACTTAAAATTTTATTTTCATTAATATAATTAAATATTAATTAATGATTATCAGTAAATAAAAATAATAATACTATAATAAATTATAAAAAAAAATTCATAAATATTTAATTTCTTCAGTGTTGATCATAATTTATTTATTGTTCGTGAATGTTATCACAATGTTAAACATAAACAGATATACTTTTTTATGAAAGCGGTGGTATGAATATATAATATTCATATAACTCAATGTTTATACAAGACCACATTATCTTAAATTTAATATTTTATTAATACTACATCAGCTTACTCTATTAAAGGTTTTTATAAAACTTAAGACTTAAATTTAAGATACGCTTCCAAGTTTTACTTTAATATTGAAGTCTTATAAGATCAAAGTTTTATGATTTTTAATCGTATTTTAATTTTTTACAACTTAAAACATAACTTAATTATTATAATTAAATATTAATTAAATTTTGATGTTTTAAAGACTTATTGGTAAAGAAAAAATAATTGAAAATCCAAAATCCTCTACAAGGCTCGTGTCTTAATTTTAAGACATTTATCATATCATATGAGCTAATGAGACCTAAATTTTAAATTTAAGACCCTTGTATGAGAGGTAATCTAATATTTACGATAAGAAAAATCACATGTCATCTTAAAATTATAAAAATCAATACAAGTTTGTTTTTATATATATATAATGTTATGCCAGAAGATGGGGATGTTACAGTAGGATAATAATTAAGATGATTTTAGGCTCATTAAAATTTCCAAGTATTTGTTCCAAAAAGGAAATAAAGAAATGCAGAAATACATGAACAAGGTCATCCACGTCGCGACCAAAAAAAGATTAAATAAATAAAACAATACAAATTTAACACATCTGGTATTCTCCGGCACTCCAAATATCTAACATAAATCGGCCAGAGTTTTCATCCTTCCTTAGGTAACTAGAATAACCTATCCCGCAGGCAGAGGAGAACAAATACATTTATAATTTGATTTTTTTCCTCAAAAATAAAGTCCTGTCACATAGTCAGCTCTCTAGCCATCCGAGTGATCTTTCTCCTATTGTCTACATAAGCTAAAGAATGTAAATATACAAATCATCACCTTGAATTCTCTTGCTTAACTACATTCCCTGGGTAGAGCAAATAGTATGAGACAAAAATGATCACCTGCAAATCTGCAGTTCCAGTAAAAGGACTTCATTCCTGTTCGGTTAGGCCCACAAAAGTTCATACTGCGCAGTTGAAGAATCATTAGCCCAATGCAACAACTTAGGCTCAAGATACTGTAGAATTAGCGTCTGTCTCTGTTTTCTCTAATTGGTTATTCATAATATTTAAAATATCATTTGGGGGACATTTGTTTTCAGGGTTCTTTGCAGATGTTTGGCAGAAGCATTCAGGCCAAGAATTAGTATAGAAAGACTCTGGAGAAACACGCTTATGAGGTTCTCCAAAGTTTGTTGTCAGCATGACTTTCCTAATAGCTTCATCAAAACCAGCTGTACGCCCATTTTCCCTATCGATGAAGATAGGGGCAAGAGATTTTCTATCAGGTCTGATAGTAGTACGGAAACCATAATATAGACGATGCCCAAGGAGATTGTTGGCAAAGTTGCTAGGGCCATCATAAGTTGGCATGAAGATGTCAGAAAGAAGACAGACCATGTAATCCACAGCAGAACCTGCCAATCCCCTAGTGTTTTCAACTAGCTCTTCAGAGTGTTCCACAGAAGAATGATTCTCAAGTCGAGGGAACAAACTTCGAAATGGCTTCATAAATCGATCCCCTCCAAACAATTCACCAGCTGCAAGATATATCCTAGTAGAATTGTCAAAACCCAATGCACGCAGAATGAGACCAACCTGTAACGAGAAGCACATAAATGTAAGTCCAATTGAAACATTGGAATCATAGCATAATCTTAAATTTGAAATTCGTTACCACCAGCATACATGTAAAGAATTGTCAAAGCAAAACTAATGCTTACCTCCTCGGGAGTCAACGGGCATTTCCCAATAGCCCTTCTTTCGTTATAGACAAGTCTTTTAGGAGCAAAATTTTCTTCTCGATACTTCTTCAAAATCTTTTGCTCCTCGGGTGTAAATATATCGAAGCATCTGCAGTCACATCCATTTTCAACATGAATAATTTAGAGGAAGCTTTCCATTATGTATATTTTTGCGGGAGGGGGGATTGAGTTCCCTTGCAGCAAGTAGTACTATAAATATTGATTATTTCTGTTCTGTCTCTTGCATTACATCGCATCATATCATATCCTTATACAGTAATATTTAGAATCTCAATTTTTCTCTTTCTCATTAGAACCTAAATTCCTAAAATTTCTACACATGCTAGTAATACAAACAATATCAAACACTCTTGTACAGGAGGATATCCATGGTACATGTCCAAGAACTTAACGACCTTCCAAAATTATTAATTACATAGTGAAGTACAAGTAATAACTAGAAAAGAATTCAATTTCTTGAACAAATAAGCATCATACATCATTAACCAGGACAGACTTCAAACTTCGTAGTTGAAGTCTGTTTAAAAAATCACTAGCCACCCATTAGTTCAGTTGCATGTCGAAACCATGAAAGTCATCCATTTGGAGCAGTATTCTTTGGGCTATACTGTGTTTTTGTTGGTATTGTTAGGATTATGGGAAAGGTGGTGTTAGTAAATTCAGATAGGATAGTGATTAGTTAATTAGGGGGTTCATGAGTTAAATAAGTAGGGAGATATAAAGAGAAAGTGGGATAGAGATACACACTTGTAGATTGAGCTTCAGCTTTTTGTGAAGGGAAAAACCCCTCGAGGAAAAAATGTTACCTTATTTCTTGTTCTTTTCATCCTACTCAATAAAATCTGTCTTTTATTTCCCATTCCAAAATTCTTGGTTCCTAATATCTAGTACGACTGTAAAAAATAAGCAATTATTCTCCAAATATAAACTAAATGTATCCTTATAAAAATAGGAAATAAACCATTAACAAAGTAAATGTGTACATGACTAATCATATATCATATATACACAGGAATCTGGTTTCTAATAAGGATAACAAGGAAAATCCCACAGATTTGATCGATGGTTTTTTATAAAGCTTTGGCATAAAATCCATTCGTTTAAATCAAGGAAAACATGCATTTAAAGTCAATAAACATACAGCCATATAAAGTATAAACATAATTGTCCAGTCCAACCCGGATAACTTACCCAGCAAATGCCAACATGTCCATCTCAAACCGAAGATGTATGGACATGAAGGGACCTTGTGCTCGAAGTTTATCTACAATTGATTGACTTAGCTTCATGATATGTGGCTTGAATCTTAAAGCATGATAGTTGACTCTACACCTCAACCTTTGGTACTCAGGATTGTCAATTTCTTCAGCTAAGCGATGTGAAAAGGGAGTAAGATAGATGGCACCATGTTCCTTCATTTTCTTCAAAGCATCATTAGTATACCAACTTATAGGAGCATCTCTAGGAGGACGAATCTGTGTCAAAATAACATTAGAACATATTATCCAGAAAATTGAAATAATTCCAAACTACTTATTGATGACCAAGTTATTAGTCTACCTGAAATGCCTTTATTTTCTTCTTTTTGCCATTTTTCTGATTTTCTGGAATGCTTTCAACAATCTTAACATCATACCTCAGTGTTTTGATGAAATGCTCCACATCATAAATACCATAGAAACCACTGCAAGTAATAAAAAATAAAGGAACCTATTTAGTGTAGTGTGACTCTGATCCATCACAAATGAAGAATCAATCAAAACACTCTCAATACTATATTGAAAAAGGGTTCCCCATTTGGTATCTTTTCCTAAAGGTACATTTATTTCAACTAACAGCATATTTGGGGAACTCTTTGTTAGGAGTCTCATATTAAGTAGGATGAGCTACTGTGGTATTTAAGCCTTGAGGCTCTTCCACATAATGGACTAGATTTTTGGATTAGGTTCTCTTCTTGTGCTATGTCCTAACAATTGGTGCTTTCACTGAGAGTTGGGCTTCAAAAATGGCTACCTATAGGCTGGATTAAGGTGCAAACTGAGTATTGATAAATGAGTGAAGCCATAGAAGAGAAAAGATCCACCAAGTCAGTGTCGATAGAGTGAAAGTTGTTGTAGACGTCAACCCTTAAGGGGGTGGCAATGTTATGAGTCTCATATTCAGTAGGATAAGCTACTTGATGTGATACTTGGACCCTTCAACCTCATGGACTAGTTTTTTGGGTTGAGCTATCCTCTTGTGCTTAAGTTCTAGCACTCTTTCAAGGGAAATAATCACTTGTTTTCAAAACTCTCTGAGGAAGTTGCCAAAACTAAGTGATTATTTCTTCAAAAGAAAAATGCTAGTAACACACTCTATTTACTATTGGTTGAAAAATATTGAAAATCACAAAATTCTGGGTCTAACTTCTTATGTTAAGAGTTCTAGTCGTGATTTTGTAGTTTCCAATAAATTTAACCAATAATGAAGATTGTTTAAGAAGGAATGTATTCAAAAGTGTGTTGCTAGCACTCTTCTCCAAAATAAGCTAAACCAAAAGGGCATGACAAATTTGTGAGTACAAATTAGCTACAGAGACTGCATGGTCGAGGGGTAAAACAAAGTTATCTTCTTTTATTTGTCCCAATAAAAAGAATATTCTTAATCCAGGAGTAAATGAATCCATGCAGCAGTTCAGAAATCAGATAATAAATAAAAGTCAAGACAGAGTTACCTGTCGTCATGCCAAAAAGAGTTCGCATCCAACTCAGGTAACACTAACGTAGCATTCATTATCCGCGCAGCAAGAACAGCATTAGAGATCTACAACATTGAAATACTAATGTATCATTGTACCAATATAAACATGTATATATACAGAATAGCACCACCATACATACAGGAAGCCTCATCCCATCAAAAGCTTTGTATTCACCTAGCTTAGTAAGAGACACAAAGTAAAATTCTTTGCAGCTTGAGTGAATGCACCAAACCAAAAAAATGCAACAGATAATCCCCACAACTCATGAAAGTATACTACAGTTTACAGTAACAGAAAAAAGGTACAAACCGCACTGCGCTGTTGATTCAGCCCACCGTTACATCGAACACGCAAATAGCCATTGCTCTCATTCGGAGGAGCTGAGACAAAACATCAAACACAACATCAGAAACTTCTTAAACGATACATTCAGATGAATACTATTGCATCAGAAACAGTCTGTAACTACAAGAATAGATAGATACAGGGCCAATGAGTTCGCGGAACAGACGACGGCCGCCAACCGCCGGAATCAGCGTTGCTCCAGAGCTCTTCTAAATGGATCTGATTAACACCAAACGAAATACGAATAACAAATCGTTGAATTACATTCAATAAGTACAAATTTCATTACAAAAAAAAAAATTAAAAAGATTCTAAACGAATTTACTTCGATTTGCTTAAATTACGTTCAGCGAGTAAATAATCTGAACTGAATAATTTACACGAACCTCGGAGCGATAGTTGGATTGAACATTCGAAGTTCCTGTCGAGGAGAAGAACAAGGAGAGCGTACAGATCAAGAGAACCACAGCAGCGACAGATAACTTCACAATCATTCCTTTCATTCCTGATCCTCCGGTGTGCCTCCCATGCTGCCTGTGGAAGCCAGCTCTGCAAACAACAAAACGTCAACATTTTACATTCGAAATGAAATTCAACATCGAAGTGCTATCGAACCCTACCTCCTCATGGTTAAAATTCAATGACTCTGCTCTTCTTATTCTGCCGATTCAGCCCTTCGAGTTTACGCTTCACCGCTGAAGTAGATTGAAATGGTGATTGCGACTATGTGTGACAAATGGACCTTACCGGCGATCTGCAAAATGCAGGTTGCCCGGTGGATATGTAGTGGTGGGAGGAAGAAGATGAAACTAAAACACCGTCATTGATGTTATTACAAAAATTGGCTTGCCTGGTCGATTTGAGACAGTACACGGGCTTCAGTTGGTCTAAGAGATTTGGGCCTTAACTTGTTCATTTGGTCAAAGAAGACTTGCTTCTTGCACCCATATTTTTTGAAAAGACAATATTATCATGCCAATTTTATATGAAAGTAAAATAAGCTCTAGAATAATATTTTCGTAAAAATTACGTAATCTATAAACATAGTTAAAAGTATTTGTATCTTAATTCTCACATCAACACGCTCATACATTTTTCAAGCTTATGCTGGTCCTTTTATTCTTTCTTAGTATTCGAAGAGCCTCAAAAGCAAGGTACCGGAAGAAATATCATATGTAACATAATTGTTGGGTGACCACTGACCTTTAAGATGAGGTATTTCTTTTAATTGATAGACATACACATTTAATGAATGTGCAACTATAGGATATAAAGAAAAGGATGCACAAAACTCCTTGGATGTTAAACGTTAAAATCACAAAGCCACAACCTTAGGAAATTTTGTGTTCTGGATCTTCAAATACAATTTTAAAAAAAAAAAATATATATATATATATATATATATATATATATTAACAAAAAATATTTATATATTTACAAATATAACTCTCATGAAATCATGTCACCTAAGTATGTGAAAACTATTTACTCTTGTTTATATATTAATCGATTTAAGAGTTTTTTCTTCTAATTTTAAATAATTTTATTAATACGTATTATTTTACATTAATAATTATATATAATGTATATAATTTTAACTTTTTTAATAAAATTGACTTTTTTAAAAGTTTTGGCAGGTGGAGATTAAGATTTATGTTTAAAAATTGAGTCAACTTCAAAATCTTAATCATTACATAAAATTTTATTTAAAAAGTTTCGTAAATATTTTTATCCATAAATATTTTTAAAAAATTATAAAATGAAAATGAACAAAATTATTTTATAATCTTAAACACAAATAAGCATTAATATTACTATAAATATGTAGATTAAAAAAACAGACCGCAATCAAATTAACATTTTTATTATTTTAACGCTCTAATGATTTTTTTTTACTGAATGATTAGACAAACATATATTTTAAATTATTGGTTAACAAATATTAATTTAAAATATATTGTTTAGACATAAGAACATAAATGAAAAAATACTAATACATAGAAAGCTTCTATAATTATATGACATATCAAATCCACTTTTACATTGGAGAATATGTTATTGGATTAAAGAATAAATTTTTTCAAGGCCCAGACAATGAAAGCATTTTGAAAAACTTAGGTAGAAATGAAGTGAAAGATCTTAGGCATCATTGGTTAAATAAAAATAAATGTTGATTTGATTTTGATAATTGAGATGATGTAGAAGATGGTTGTGGGATATTAGAAAGATAAAATTGAAAATTTGAATTGAAAAATAATGGTAGGGTGTTAAATTTTGGGCTGGGAGGAAGGTGTTCCATCTCTGCATCAGCGGGGACCATCAGCATGCAAGGTGTCGACCGCGGAAAGGATGGTGGTCTCTTTCACGCGACACAAACGAACGGATAACGAAGTTCCAAGGTGGAGGAGCCTCTAGGGTTCTGAAACGTGGCCATCTAACTGTGAGTGGACCTACAAGTTAATAACAACCTACTCCCATCATCTACTGTGTAATATTATAATCATAAAAAAAACTTATCCATAAAGAAGAAAGTTGAAGACTTGACTTGATTGAATTGACTCTATGTCCGCGAAATGCAATCCGCACGAGGAACTTAGATTCACACCGCAAGCTCAGTTAATAGGAAGAATAGACTCAAAATTTCGATGGCTATGATGATGAAAGTGAAGCTTACGCTAAAAATTCTATGCATGCTGATCGACACGTGTATCGCTATTTTCTTTTCACCACTTATCTTCGTAGACACTATAATTGCTTGATGTTGCCCTCACAACAACCATATACCTCTCTATATTTGGATTTGTCGCAGTAAAAATAACTTATATTGCTTTTAAAATATCATTATTCTAAATATATATATGCAGTCTTGGTTCAAATTGACTCACGTCTTATTTGTAAATATGCACCGTTTTGTATTTAAATGTTTGTATGTTTCAATTTAAACCATTGATATTAAAAAAATAGTAATAAAACGGTTGAACGGGACTAGGTTATTGAATAACTTTGAAATTTAAGCATCTTATATAATTATAAGATATAGATTAACTACTTTTGCTCTTTCATTATACAAATATGATTTTTTTTCTTTATATTCAAAAAACGTATTTATTAGTAAGTTTTTTTTAAACTGGCTATTGTTCCGTACCAAATATGAAGATAGAAGATGGTGGGGAATGAGAAAATAGAGGGAGCATAATGTGGAATGTGGTGGCCACCATTATAAATGTTGTGCATGTGCGTTTCTTTTTATCCTTTATTAATTTAATATCTGCAACGAAGAGAGAGAAGTGAAGAGGGAGAGAGAGGTGGAGTGAGGAAGCATGGGAAGAGGGAAGGTGGTTCTGGAGAGAATACAGAACAAGATCAATCGCCAAGTAACCTTCTCAAAGCGCAGAAATGGTTTGCTCAAGAAAGCGTTCGAGCTATCAGTGCTATGCGATGCTGAAATCGCTCTTATCATCTTCTCCAGTCGTGGCAAGCTTTTTCAGTACAGTAGCACTGAGTAATTTTCCTCTATCTCTCGTCTTTCTTTCATATTAATTACTCCATTATTTTTCATTATTATATATATTCCATTCCTAGATTTTGGTTTTTCAGACATGCTGCTACTTGCTTTGAGGTTGTTTTTTTGGGTATAAAACATAACTTACGTAGTAAATCCCTGAAACCTGTGATGGGTTCGGTTGTTTACTTCTATTAATTGGGGTGCAGGGATCGTAGCTAGGGTTTTCCAATTCTTCATCCACCCCTTTCCCTTTCTTTTTAGCCACTTTCTTTTATCGTTGAAAGAAAGAGTTAACAAACTCTCATTAATCATACGAACTCTATAATTCTTCGTAATTATATGAATTAAAGAGGCCGGGTAGAGTAATTGCTGAAGGGTAATTGTTTTTCGTATGTCCAAGAGAAAGGAGTTCAGTTTCTTTTTTCTTTTTTCTTTTTTCATCTTGAATGAAAATTAATTCCAGCAAATTTCTTGGAAATGTTCTTAACATACATCTTTTGTATTATAAAACTATACAATTAAACACCTGTGGTCTTATAATAGTTTGTTATGTGATTTGAATTCATGATAATTTGAAGAGTATTTTTGAAAAAAATATTAAAATAATCCTTATATATGTATCTGCCCTTATTTCTCAATTCTCATGCATGCTGTTGCTGTAATATTTGTGCCATATTAAGAATAAAAAAGTGATGCTGTTTCAGCTGAAAAAACCAACCTTTCAGTAGTATTTCAAAAGTAGCAAGTAATCAGTCACTTGTAAAAAATATAAACTTTGGATGGGATCCCCATGTGTAAGTATCATGAAAAGAATGTATTAGGAGGTACAAATAGTTTTTTTTTACCTATTAAAATAAACTTTTTACTCATATATATTGGTAGCTGTGCAGATGTTTGTTCCTTCATGTAACAACCTACCGTTCCCTTTCTTTAAAACATATACTTTACTCATAAATACATTAGTATTCGAATGTCACTGCATAACCGATTATTGTTTGTTTATTAATGAATGGACATTCACTTAATAAGTGTTTTTCTCGAAAAAAAAAATTTAAAAATTTGATACTGCAAATTGTTTAATCCTTAAAAAAAGAAAAATTGGAGAATGGTAATTCTTTGTTTGAGATAGATGTGTTGGTTTTGTTAGGTTGGATTGTTTGGTTTATAGAGAAGCATTTCAGTATTCTGGCCAGATTTTCCCCAACCCATTAGGATCATTTATAGGTCAATCGTGTAGGGTAAAGGCTCTTTTGTTTGGAAGCGGAGTAACTGTAGTTACAACTTATTTTGCCCTTTTTTTCTCTTAAGGGTTAATCATAAAGTAATAATGATTTGGACATGATGTTTTGTTTCAAGATGGAGAGTTAAACAGGAGGAAGCACCTAACAATCTCTTGATTATTTCAATATTGGTTTTAATCTAATTTTATTTTTATTTACAAATATTTGTGTGATAAATTATGAAAAGCCCCTAAGCTAATGACACTGTGATTATGGGAATATTATCGAGTTTCATTGCCAAAGTCTCTTTTTCCGTTATCGGGGTACAGCATGAGAAGTTTAAAATTCTTAAAGTCACTCATCACATCCTTTCATGACTTCTAGTTCTATCTTCGTATTAATGAACGATTAGTCACGATCTTGTTCTAAACAAAGCAGCTTTTGAACTATGTTAAAGTTGACATGACTCATGCATTTATAAATCATTCTTTTGTAAACATTTCTTAAAATACTGTTCGACGAAATGATATTTTCTTAAAATGCTCACCCAAAAGACTGTAATCTACTTCTGATTTTCCTTCCAGCTTTCCCTATATATTTAATATTTTTTATTAACTATATTTTAAAATTATAAAGTTCTTTCTGAAACAACTTCTAGTTAACCAAGCATAACATCTGACCTACATGTTACCGTTCACTCCTCCTTGTGGTCGAAAACACAAAAATAATTATAATCACACTAATTTTTCTTTTGATTTTTTTTACTTTCTTTTCTTTAAGTTTCTTTCTAGTCACGCTGATTACTTTTACTCTACTTATATATATATATATATATATATATTGCTTCCTTCCACTTTCACAGACGTCAATTTGGGATATACGCTTATAAAGCACTCATAACACAGTTTATCACACATCTAGAAATCATCACCTCTTCTGCTGGTTAGGACGCCATGGTAGAGTTGGCACTTAGGTCGGGACTAACTGAAAATAAAACAATCTTCTCACATTGATGATTAAGAAAAAAATAGCACAAGTATATTTAGGAATCAGAAATAAATCCAAAGTGCCTTAAGTATTATTTTGAACAAAATAAACACCCTCTCGAGCCCAAATGAAGAAATCATGCTACATTGTTGCTAGGGTTAACAGTTCTACTTGGCATTATTTCACGATCTGCTAAAAGCAATAATGTGACTGGTTGATTCTTAACAGCATTAACAGAATCATTGAGAAGTATCGTCAATGCTGCTTCAACATATCTCAGACTGGCGACGAAGCTGGACATCAATCGGAGCAGGTTTTTTCTCTCTTTTTTTTTCCCTGAAATATTGTCTTCGGAAGATATAGAGGAAAAATAATTAGAATTCGTTAAGCTAATTTCCATGGCAGGTACTCAAGTTAACGATTGATATAACAACTGTGCGTATGCTCCTTTAATTTACATAAAATGGATAATATCAACAACATAACGTTGCACATTGCAGTGCTTATATCAGGAGCTTTTGCTGCTGAGAGTCAAGCATGAATCACTCCAGCGAACTCAAAGGTAAAGATAATAAGGGAGAAAAAGAGATCTTGTCATGCCAAAATTGTAGAGGACATGCACTAACTTATTCTGCTTCTGTTTGTGTTTGAAGGAATCTTCTGGGAGAGGAACTTGAGACACTTAGCATGAAAGAATTGCATAGCTTAGAGAAACAACTGGATAGAACTCTTGCACAAGCTCGGAAGCACCTAGTAATATAATTGGAACTTATTCTTATAATCTTAATGAACATATATTAACTCTAATGAAATAGATGAAATACAAAAGTAACATGTGCTATTGGTAAAAGAAATAATTTGTTTATTGAAAATAAAAATAATTTTGAATTTTGTTATTTGAATCCAAACTTGCAATATGGGTTTTCTTTTTTCTTAAATACTATATAATGCACTGCAATAGACATGATCCTGCCTTTTAAATTGCAGTCACAGAAGCTGGTGTCAAGAATTGACGAACTACACGGGAAGGTATGCAAATTTTTAATCAAATATTGAAGGTTGCTACGGTATGGTTCAATTTAATTTGCTCCATGTCAATCATTCATTGCATTTTGACTTGCTTTCTCTCTTCCCAATATTCACTGATTTGTGGTCTATAATATTAGAGTATATTTTTTTGCATGAGCTTTTTTTACAAGCATTTATACTTAGAAAATAGAAAATAAATTATAACTAAAATTATGTTGCAAATTAATTAAAATTATTTACTTTTCTAAAAGTTCAATTTTAACATATAAATAAATTAAATTTATGTTTATTTTTATATCATGTATTTATAGAAAATTTTATCGAAACATATATTTCTCCACCCATTATTCACTACAAGAAAAATCGCTTTTAGCGACCGAAAAAATCGGTCGCTAATAGCCAAAATCGATCGCTATTCGTTAGCGACCGAAATTACGACAAAATGGTTGGTCGGCTTTTAGCGACCGAAAAATCGATGCGCTATGCTTCAAAAATTGATCATTTATTACATTTAGCGCTTTGGCCCAGGAGTGCCAGCCAAAAATAGATTTAATTATGCCAAAAGAAAAGCTAATCAACTAAATTATTACTTAATGAAATTCTGTTCGATCAGCTAATAGCGGCCGTCTGATGTTATTGCAAAGTGGTGACTAAATAATTTGATGCGTGATGACAGGCGAAAATGGCATGCGAGATTAAGTGATCATAAATAAATTAGCTAAATCCAAGTGGTAAAGTTTTAAAAATAGCGACCAATATAT